ATTTGTACTCACTACATTACATTGTTTGAATATAATCGAAACGCTCATTTTCCTCAGTATAGAACAAAACCGTACTTCATCTGCGAGATTGTTTAACGAATCAAGAATCCTTTGCATCTATTGATATTGCTGTGTCGAGTATGCAATTGGGCGAATTGGATGAATTCATATTGTGCTCGAAATACTTTGAACCCCAGTCCACGGTTTCATTACTTTATGTTGTCATGCTTTAGAAATGGGTCGACAAGTAAGGCAAAATTTTAACAAAATAATATGTCATTAATGTCAATTGTTATCATCATTATCGAAGTCGATTAAATATACATTAATAAAGACAACTCAAGAACTACTCGTCAGATCTTAATGAAGACGAGAAGTACCAGCTTTCATATAAGAAAGAAGCTTCGAAATCCGTTCAACTAGATTACAGTCCTGAGGTACCACAAAAATACACAGACTAATTGCAAAACTTCTCTTTTTCAACATTTCACGTTGACGACGTCTGCAAGGATAGTCATCCACTTGGACACATCGTGGCAGTATCAGCGTAGTCACGGACACCTGTATTATCAAAAGTCCAAACTCTTATCGATCGCTTAAGAAGGAAGTGACGAAACAACCAGAAGTCTCATTTCACACAACAAGAACAACGCACAAGCATTAAGCAACAATATACCCGATAATATTAATTATGCCCTCGTATCTTTACAACGCGTCCGAAATATTATAAATATAAGCCCCGATTAAGATAATATCGGCGCCCGCTGGTTGGCAGCAATGCACCCGTAGTACGCCGCGACGCTTGCACGTTCAACCATCGACCATGATCCGGTTCGAGGGTGGACCAGTCTTTCTGATCGAGGCAAGTTCTATATCGCGTCTCCTCAACTATTAGTGCTGAGGTATACATACGTAGGAAGTTCAGGGAATGGAAGTTGTGAGTGATAGATAGTATCGATATCGTCGATAATGTACTTTAATAGCCAGCATGGCGCATGGCGGTCACATTAAAGACGTCTCATTTGTAGTTCACAAACTCGTATAATAATAACAGATAGAAGTAAATACCTAACGATAGTTTCCTGATAATAACGTGGTGTTCAGCCTTCTCAGAACCACTCGACTCCGCGGCGAGTTCTTAGCTACTTACTTCTCGTTCCGCCGACACAACAATGGTTCGCTGTTCTCATCTACAATCTTCCCCTAGTTCGTCGTCTAGCCTGATGACCTCGAGCTGTGTCCTGGCAAGCAGTTCAACGCTCTGCAGCAACCGTGCGATTGGACCTTATTGACTGCATACAAAAAACCATTGAGGTCACGATCGATACCTAATCAATTTCCTAATATTGATATGACTTCGCAATCACCACCAAAATAATAATAATATAATTTTTTGATTGTATTTCGTAATATAGCATTTGTATTATGAAAACTATGTTTTTCTTGTTTGTTTTAATTGCAACAATGTCTCAATATGCGTTGTACCGAGGTATGTAACTGTTAGTTGCTTCCCGGGAACTCTAACATATGCCCACTTCAAACGAGATTTGAAAATAACCACAACGGTACGCATCGCATTGACTGTCAAAACAACACACTACGAATACAACAGTAATGACAAATGTTCAATTAATTAATTGTTTCCTTGTTCCTTCGGGTGGTTGGCTGGCTATCTGTTGTAGAGTACTCGACTAATGAGGTCGCTTGTGATTTCCACCGCCTCACGTTTTATGTTTATCGACTTGTAATACTCGTACATGTATGGAAGCAAGATTTTCAATTAGTGGCCTATATTTTTTTGGGCCAGTGAGGAAGTGGTTTCCGGTATATGTATTTGTTGAATGTTTGTACAACATTATGTATTTGATTTTCGAACGTTTAATGGTGAATATTTTGAAACATGTGAACACATAATGGAAGATTTAACGTTAATTATATTTTGAAAAAGTAAACAATTTTAAAACAAAAAAGATCTCTTTAATAGCAGGCCGAACTCAAAATAATTCATTTCTCTATAATTGTTTTATCCTATTACTATTACTGTTTACCCGCTAATGCTAATGAAACCGAATTTCTTAGCACATAAAATGCACATCAAAGGCCGATATGAACTACCATGCCTCACGTCGCCGTGTGTTAATAACGTTGGGTGCTTCTCTGCAAACAATGCTCTTTATTTATGTCGGAGTGCGAACACCGCGTGTGAGGACGGCCCCGTCGTGACCAGAGTGACCATACTGTGCATTTTGTAACATGGAAACTGAATTTTATTGAATTTAATGATGCACTTGTAGTCACTCCACTGTCATTAGATTATGGCTCGATAATTGAGGCTCAAATTTTTCTAAATTTTTACATATCGTGACCAATGACTTCCGCACTAAAAGAATAAATTGTTTTAAATCTAATCCATGAAAATAAAACGTAATTACTGATGGTAAGTATGAAGTTGAAGTGTAGAAAAGCCTTTATTACTACAATTGAGCAAATGGCAGCAGTCAGATTGTAAGCTCCATTTAACTAGCTAAACAGAAGAACTTTAAGCTGTCTCCCATTTGCGGCAAAATTAATACAAACATTTTAAATCGCTTAAGTGTGACTTTTTTTTGAAAAAATCCGATTTTTCGTATACCTTATGTCTTACTCAATGAAGACTCGTCATATAAACAAAATAAACCATAAAATAGCCTGTCGGGGGAGGGGCGGGTATTTAAGCAGTCGCATAATGGTATGTGGCCTTTCACCTCGTTTTATAATGTGGGTTCATGTTAAGTCGTTAGTTTGATCCGTCCGTATAAAAACAGTGAAAGTCATGGTTGACTTGCTATTCGGCCCTGGCCATAGTACTGCGATTAGCGTAAACCTTTTTTTCATTGCTTAGATGGGTCGTCGAAAACGGCCCACCTGGTGTTAAGTGGTTACCGGAGCCCATAGACGTCAACAACGGAAGTGCCGCCACCTTGTGATATGAGTTCTAAGGTCTCAGTACAGTACAACGGCTGCCCCACCCTTCAAACTAAAACGCATTGCTACTTCACGACAAAAATAGATAGGGTGGTGGTACCTACCGTACGGGCTCTCAAGACGTCCTTCCATCAGTAACTATGCAAATTATAATTTTGCGGGTTTGATTTCCATTACACGATGTTAATTCCTTCACCGTGGAAGTCAATCGTGAACATTTGTTATGTACGTACTTCATTAGAAAATTGGTACCTGCCGGCGGGGTACGAATTCACCGGACGTCTTATCCTTTAGGCCACAACGACTTTAAAATCTCCTATTCTATTTTATTCTTCAAATCGTGTACTAACTAACCACTGATAACCTATTATATAAACTCTGCGCTACACATGTGATGATAATAATGCGGTTGATCTTGTTTCTGTTGCGGTTTGAAGACATCAGTCGTAGATAGAGGCGATGACTGAGAACATAGCGCTATGTTTTTAAACTTGTTAAGTATTTATGTAATGCGATTGTGTTCACGAATGCTTACAGTCTATGACATAACTATATTAGTTACTGATCGCATGAGCGACACATTCATTTTGGCTCCTCTGTTAGCGTAAACTACGAAAAATAGAAGAGTACCTTAAACAGGTTATAAAATACAAATTAAGATTTGTTCATAAGTTCCAGGTCCTTAATCATCTTTTTCTTCCCCTTATTCAACTAGTTTGGATCGGCACAACTAGTAGTTATGTTCTATAGTTTAAGTTGACTCGCGGCCTTGTGTGTGCCAAGTATTGGCTAAGACAATAAAGAAATGTTTATCGTAGACGGAAAGTGAAAATATGTAATAGTAAATCGAAGCGGCCATAGCTGCACATCCGCATCTTCTGATCGCTTATTATCAAACACGACTGTTATCAAGTAAAAAGTACCTTTGACGTAAATTTAATAACAAAATATGTCGAGATATCCCGTGCACGCTAGTCGCTCTGCTTGTGGCTTCGTCCGCGGCTTTTCTTGGAGTCGACGGCCACGGTCACCGGACGCCGGACTGGATTCCACCGGCGCGGCGCGTTAGGGCTGCGTGCCTAAACGACTTAGATGTCTAAATACAATCGCGGGGCGGACAGAGTTGTCTCGTTTGGTTTCAATTTGTAATTTTGTAGAATGACGGCTCTGGGTTCAAAACGCGTTGTTAACCCAGGTGCGTGAGTTTCGTGTATTGAATTCACGTCATTTCGGATCCTCCCGATCCACTAACGGTGCTTTTAGGTATCTCAAGCACCGGTCATCGTTCTCGTCGAACCCGTCGCTTGCGACGAAGGGCTCGACGAGTAAATTAACCCTCAGACACAGCCCACTGAGTTTCTCGCCGGATCTTCTCAGTGGGTCGCGTTTCCGATCCGGTGGTAGATTCTGCGAAGCACGGCTCTTGCTAGGGTTCGTGTTAGCAACGTCATCAGGTTTGAGCCCCGTGAGCTCACNACGAGTAAATTAACCCTCAGACACAGCCCACTGAGTTTCTCGCCGGATCTTCTCAGTGGGTCGCGTTTCCGATCCGGTGGTAGATTCTGCGAAGCACGGCTCTTGCTAGGGTTCGTGTTAGCAACGTCATCAGGTTTGAGCCCCGTGAGCTCACCTACTAGTTAAGGCGACGCTGATATAGCCTCTCAAGGCTATCAGCATAGGTAGGAAAAAAAAAGTGCGCATGGATGATGAATTTATAACCGAACTCTGGTTTACTAGCGTTAGCGTCTACGACAAGTCAAATAACCACATAATACATTAATATAATTAATAAAATATTTCAGCCCTAATATGAACTCGGTTAAGGGCCCGCATTCGACGCGACGTAAACCAAAGAAACAACATTTCCACGCGACATTCCTCACCGGGAAACCATCCGCCGACCGGTCGAATTCTAAACTAAAACATTGAATATATTCATATTGCGTGAAAGTGTATCTTTCTTTTTACGAGTTGTGGATATAATTAAAAACTTTAAGATAAGATTTAAATAATGATAAATTAATTGATTGATAAAGGGGAAAATTGTTTCCAGGCGGGCGAGCCCGGCATAGTGGTGCTCAGACCTGAAGCCCTCACCCGCACCGAGTCGGAGGAGGAGGACGAGGCAGACTGCGGCCCGCCCTCGCCCTGCGGAGTGCGCTTCGTCAACGACAACGTGCTCATCAACGGGAAGTCTTCGATGCCGAACAAACCTAACAGAGACAGGATCGCTAAGGTACACCACACATCCTTTATGTAAGCTCCATTAACAAGAGGCCTACCCTACGTAATTCCTTTTTTTAGATGGTTGGACGAGCACACAGCCCACCTGGTGCTAAGTGGTTACTGGAGCCCATAGACATCTACAACGTAAATGCGCCATCCACCTTGAAATATAAGTTGTAAGGTCTCAGTATAGTTACAACGGCTGCCTCACCCTTCAAACCGAAACGCATTACACGGCAGAAATAGGTGTGGTGGTGGTACCTACCCGTTTGGACTCACAAGAGGTCCTACCACCAATAAAAGTAATGACCACTCGCTATGAAGTATCCTCAAAAGTCCTACGTCTAACCTCAAAAGTAATCAAAAATGTGCTTCAACCTAATTCTGATCTCTGGATGCGTGCACCGACACTCTGCCAGTCTCTGCGACTCTCTGGTGTCGCCAGCCGCTAAACACATTCAGCCATTGTTTTTCGTTTAATGTTTTTTTCCTACTAGCTATGAATTATCCTATATACACTGTCAATTGTGACTCATTTTCCTGTTATTCTAAATAACAGTAATAAATATAAATAAAATTCACTCCATAAATAGTTTAAATAATAATATGTTATTAAACTTCAGTTTCCATAGTTCGAGGACCATAGGACGTGTTCACAATCGAGCGCCGTGCCAGATAGTAGGGGAGCCCACGATGCCAAATGGGGATTTATTCGAGCGCCATAGAGCCCTATTGGGATGCAAAGCTTAGATGATAATAAGAAAAAAATATCATATAATGTATACCTTTTCATTGTTGGGGGAAGCGTCTATAGATTTTCAAATTTGTAAAGAAAAACTGTTGCATGGATATACTCGAGCGCGTCAGATATTGATAGCATAAATGTCCTACGTATTTTTAATAATGTATGTATGTTAATCTGATCGTTTGCATGATGGGGGTGGTCGTAGGGTTGAAAATTAAAAAAAAAAATATCGTGCCCGTCATATTTTCTTAGGGGGTCTTAAGTGAACCTTAAATAAAGCTCTCATGCAATAACTGACGATTTCGATGTGACGCAAACTCGCGGCCATTATTATATAATAATATGAAAAAAACATCGCCATTCTGAAATACTCTAGCGCGTCAAATTAAGATATATATATGGCTCATCTTTATGTCCTAGACGTGCTGTCTCATGATGTGACGATTATCTAGAGGGATTCACATAATCAGACAAACAAAATCATTGAACTTAATTAATTGAAAAATAAAAAATAACAAAAAGAATTTTTGTTATTTCGACTTGTGGAAATCGTCTGATTATATATTTATCATTGTCCTTGAATTAATTCCGTCCAAATAAATAAAAATTGAGTCACGCTCGAGAATGTCCAGATAACGTTTTTTTTACAACTTTGTAGCCCTCTCCTTTATTTACGTCACTCTCAAATTGTCAGATTAGTGGAATATACACTTTTTAGCATGTAATTAACTCACCTACCTTAATCTGACGCGCTCGAGACGCGCAGCCTTATTTATGAGGTTCATATTTGGTGGAGGTACTTAACCGGATACAAGGTATCCCCCTGTATATTAATCTGCCGCGCTTTAGTAAATCCCGAAATCCCCGCTCGGGCTCCCCTACTAGGAACAAACTCCGTCAAGCCAGATCGGCAACTTGTCGCTTCATGCGAACAGTTGGGACGAGGCTAATAAATAATAATATTGATTTCAGCTGAAGCTACAATTTGACGACTCGCTAACCCGCACGTTCGAGTATCCTTCAGAGACGTCGATGTGCGAGGAGTCCCCGGCCCCCGCCCCCCTCGCGGCCTCCGCCCCCCTCGCGTCCCTCGCCGACAACACGCACATAGGTGAGTGCGGTCCAGTAGCCCACTCGTGTCAACGAGTCCTGATGCCTCTACAATACAAAAGACTAGTTGAAGTGAAACCCCTGCCGCTGGCTGGCAGGCGTGTCGCATGTCCTTAATGTGTCGTGCTTTGTGCGAACAGAGGCCAGGAGCATTGCCACATAAACATGTTGTAATTTGGGAATGCTTATATCTCATTTTTATAATTAATGTAGAGTGCCCTCAAAAATGTCTATTAAATATGACATGTCCTTCTTCAAACGAGGCTTATGGAGAGTATTAAGCGGTAGGCAGCGCCTTGGCTCTGCCCCTGGCATTGCTGAAGTCCATGAGCGACGGTAACCACTCACCATCAGGTGGGCCGTATGCTCGTCTGCCTAAAAGGGCAATAAAAAAAAAATATATCCAATAACAATATTATCAGTTCCGGGTAGTCGTGCGCAGAACTACGCACATATGTAGCGGTTACTGCTAATTGTTACGCTGTTCAATCTAACCTGGTCGCCCTTGAGGCTCCGACCTCAAACCTCGTGATTTTTTACAGAAATAATAATTGTTGGCTAAAGCTAAATATAAATGGTCGTCATAGTGAGTCAATAATTAGTGTTCATCAATCAGCAGCGCCCAGTATGGTCTCTCGGTGTGTCTCATATCAATTTAATTTTGATCAGTTTCTAAAACTTTCGATTTCAACTCTTCGGCCTAAGGTTTTCTAGTTAAATATTATACGAGTATATTTAGTACCAGCCGTACTCGCACGCTTCGCTGCGCATTTAAAATTAACATTATTATTTATAGTCATTATTATTAGGGAGTCCAACACTCATATAAATATTAGGCCTATCCATTAAGTACATGTATTTTCTACATGGATACCAAGTTTCAAGTCAATAGGATGCATGGTTCAGCAGTTATATATTAGTATAGATATACAAGTAGTGAGGTGAAGTAGTTCTGTATGACGAAGCTCGAAGCAGTGTAAGCTGCATGTAGTTCAGTGGTACAGCGTCCGCGTGTGTACAGCATCCGGCGCGCTGTGCAGCTACACGCCCAGCAAGACGCCGCCCGCCACCTTCCAGCTCGGGCTCACGAGGCCTCACGACGAGGACGCGCGTGAGTACACACACTCCTACTGCCCCACACTATGAAATACATGAACGGCTCTAACCACTCGCACGATGTGCGCAGTGAGCGCCGTACTTCTCTGAGTAAGTGGTCACCGGTACTTGGACGTCACCCAGCGATTTCCAATTCTCTTTTTATTTTTATTGCTTATTTAGTTGGCCGAGCTCCCGGCCCTCCTGGTGTTAAGCGGTTGCCGGAGCCCATATACATCTACAACGTAGACGCGCCACCCACCTTGAGATACAAGTTCTAAAGTCTCAGTATAGATACAACGGCTACGTCCTACCCTTCAAACCGAAACGCATTACTGCTTCACGGCAGAAATAGGCGGGGCGGTGATACCGACTCGCGCGGACTCACAAGAGGTCCTACCACCAGTAATCACTTGTTCGACTGTGTCGGTGGTGGGTCAGGAGTGGAGCTATTAAGTATAATGCTATAAGCTAAATACGTCGCACATTTATGTAATGTAATTCCTTTATTAAATTATTTTGACTTTGGAACAATATCTTCTTAACGTGGTACCGTCGTCCCCACGTTGTACTTGATATTTTAGTCAAAATGTACNATAAGCTAAATACGTCGCACATTTATGTAATGTAATTCCTTTATTAAATTATTTTGACTTTGGAACAATATCTTCTTAACGTGGTACCGTCGTCCCCACGTTGTACTTGATATTTTAGTCAAAATGTACGCATTAATGAATACGCCCTCGTGTCCGCAGCGTCGCCCCCCTCCCCGCCCCCCTCCCCGGCCCCCTCCCCGCCGCACTGCTGGACGCGCGCGCGCAGCCTGTCCGCCGACCTGCTGTTCTAGTCCCGCGCCCGCTGCTGTCCCCGGGCGCAGTGCCACGACTGATCAATTGTGAACTATAAAGACGTTACGTTAAATAATATTATATGAACACTCTCGATGGGTCACTTGTTCGACTACAAAATATGAAATGATATTCTATTTGATCTATGTTAAGTATTTACTACAACATGTATCGCATTATGAGTCATGACAGGAACATGCTAACATTAGTTTTTAAATTTATTTCAAAAGTATCGTTATATGTACGCGAATATCAATTATTTACATTTATATTTTGTTGATGACCACGGGCTACTGTATCTTTTAGCCTAAGTTTGTTTATTTATTTTCAATAATCCACTTCGCGAAGTATAGCGGCGGGAAGCTACGGAGGACAGGTCCATTGAAGTCCCCTCCGCGCGCCCCTCGGTGCATTCCTGATGGGCGGGCCCGGCCACTCCAACCTCTCTTTAATATTAATGTTTAATGTTCAATCGAACCGCTGACTCTCCCACTGTCCCCCGCCCAGCGCTGCAGCTGCTCAATTAATTAATTTCCAACATAACCATGTAGTCGCTTGGGCTCAGTGGACTAGTGCGGGGGCCTCGTCCACTCGCATGGGCTCATCTTGTGATAGAGGAGCTGTCCTTGATGATGCAATAATAACTATATAATATGGTTCTTAATACAATAAAGTCATACTCAACAATGTACAGTCAGCAAAAACAATAAAAATTTAAAACAAAAAAATGAGATTTTGATGTCTAAATTGACTATTTCTATTATTGAGATGAATCGCGACTGATAAAGTATTTTTGTAATTAACATTTTTGATAATTGTAATCTGTAGGTATTTTTAATCCTATGCTATAGGTTCTTATGTGTCGTATATTAAGATGATATCTGGTCTAAAGTTACGGCGAAATGTAGATATGTAGAGGAGACAGTTATTGCAGGAGCTGCGTCAGTGCAGCCGATGTCACACTGGTACTGTCTCCTCGCTCCGTGGATCATTCCTGATAAATTTATACTGAAACTTACACGCATTTTTTGAGCTTACGAATTTTTAGATAACTTTTTGAATATTTTGTAAAATTTGTATGTGTCTACCTACTTATATATATGTCTACTTTCTATGAAGTAAATGAAATTATATAAACATGTTGCGAAAACTGGTGCCGCTGCCATTATCATTGTCAGCGTCACGCGGCACCGTTGTGAGGACCTCGCCTCCGACGTGGGTCCCGGCTGCCGTCTGGTCACTCGCAACATATTACACACATTCCCGATTGTAACTTCAAATATATATTAATTATTATAAATATAATGATACTCGAGAAAGTTAATGTGAAGTAATTAAACGTATCATTATCAAAAGGACAAGAGGACTGCTCCTTGTAGTCCCGCGAGTGCTGGCCGGGACACCGCGCCGCGTGTTGTTACAGGAATCTTATGATTTATCTAATTATTTGTAAGTTTCGTGAGCTCGAACTCACAGCCGATCGTTGTGTCGCGCCGCCCTCACCTTACTGTGCAGTGTGTGTACTTATGAGATGTTTTGTAATATCTATGATCTATTGTACTATTGAATATATTGATGATTGTGTAATAGATGAATATATCTGTATAGTGGGTAGAGTCGCGGCGCACCACTAGCCGATGTGCGGCTCACAGGAGCGAGGGGGGGCGGGGGGCACGCGGGGGCCGGGGGCGGACGGACGTCAAGACTGTTGACTTAACAATAAAGTCCCGAGGAGTTCCAGAGACAAGTTCATTGTATATTTTTTTCACTCAAATACGCCAATCTATAAGTAATGACGTATGTTTTACATTAAAATCGATTCAGTAGAAGTACACGAGTCAACAGCGGACGTTGCTCAGCGCACGTGGCACAGTGCGCACAGTGATGACAAGTTCGTCCCTACACCCTCCGCCTGTTTCATTAATGTATTTAGTTTAGTTAACTTTAGTAATAGCATACTTTAGATTTAACATGGTTTACCGAGTAAACGGACTCATGGATTATACTATTTCTATTTATACATTTGGATAATAATTAATATGAACTAGCCCAAAAAAAATAATACTCGTGCCTCGGTTGAGACACAACGCCATTGAAAGGAGCGGCTACTTGCGCCATCTTTACATCTTAAGGTATTTATGGAATTATAACGTGCTCAAGTGAATGTTAGCTTCGGTACAAACAAGGAGCGGTCGGGCGCGCCCTGGTGGCCGCCGGCGGCGCCCGGCCCTCGAGCGGCGCCTGCTGTCATTGTCTACATTCAATGTATTTGTGCTTTAACGGCAATAAAATAATATGATTTGATACTTTGCCTCTCATTTTACGAAATTCCCAGACACCATTTATTAAAATAATACCATTTTTTATTGCTTAGATGGGTGGGCGAGCTCACAGCCCACCTGGTGCTAAGTGGTTACTGGAGCCCATAGAAATCTACAACGTAAATGCGCCACCCACCTCGAGATATAATTTCTAAGGTCGCAAGTATAATTACAACGGCTGCCCCACCCTCCAAACCGAAACGCATAACTGCTTCACGGCAGAAATAAGCAGGCTGGTGATACCTACCCGTGCGAACTCACAAGATGTCCAATCACCAGTAATTAAGCAAATTATAATTTTGCGGGTTCCTTTTTTATTACACAATGTTATTCCTTTACCGTGGAAGTCAATCGTAAACAATTTTCAAGTACGTTATTCATTAGACAAATTGGTACCCGCCAGCGGGATTCGAACGCCGTTGCATGTTACATCGTTTGATACGATTGCACCGGACGTCTTATCCTTTACCCCGCCGCGGGGCCTCGCGCCGACACACCCGCATCGCTCGATACGAACGCAGCAGACGGATTAACTTGCTCGTTCGCTTTCCTGCCGTTCCACGCTCCAAGATCGTGTAGTATATGTGGTCCATATTTTCCTTCACATAAAACCGCTGATCAACACAAACAATCACATAAAAAACCAGAGATGTTGTACCTATCGCAACAATTCGTTCCTAAAGATTTGCATCTAGACGTGCCCGAGCTATTATTTGTTTAATGATTCATGACGATACTTTATGGGTAGAAGAAAACGATGTTCACACAAAGGATGTTCCGGACGTTCAAATTCATAAAATAAAGTGCCTGATATGAAGGATCGATACCAAAGTCCATGGACACTAGGTGATTAAGTTTTGTATCTATATCTAACATCATTAGTCTTTTATTATATCTGACTTTATGTTGATTTTATTAAAGATTAACTAATAAATAAATAAAAAAGAAAATAACTTTTCTTTTCCTTATTTTTAAATACATGCTTAATATTTAAAAATGTGACAAGGATAGGAGGAGAGTTTAAAAAGTCCTAAAAATCGTGTCACGCAATTTATAGATGGCCCCCAAAGACCACTCCCACCGCAGAGGGGTACTGCTCAAGCACGCTGTCGTTCCCCTCTAGCCCATGCTCAAACAGAGTTGAACCTAAACCAGTGCTGAGAGACCTTGGGCGTGCACTGGGTTTGCAATATATCGACCAGCAGCTCTGCCTTTTTTTTTATTGCTTGGATATGTGGACAAGCTCACGGCCCACCTGATCTTAAGTGGTTACCGGAGTCCATAGACATCTACAATGTAAATGCGCCACCCACCTTGAGACATGAGTTGTAAGGTCTCACTTTTTTAATAGTACAACGGCTGCCTCACCCTTCAAATCGAAACGCATTACTGCTTCACGGCAGAAATAGTGAGGGCGGTGGTACCTAGCCGTGCGGACTCCCAAGAGGTCCTACCACCAGTCGTTGTCATGGAAAGCGAGTCGGCCTGAGGCGCCAATGAGGAGGGCCATAGCTACTACCGTATCCGATTTGAGAGTACGAGCTAAGCGGTAGTAAGACCGTTGGGTGGGCTCGAGTCCATCTAAGAAATCAGACCATCTGGCATCTCGGACTTCGGCGATGCGAGACTTTACGTCGCGTTATAGGGCACGCATTCGAATACGAATTTCCTCGGTTGGATACCTATCGTAGGCGCGGATCGAAGCGTTCTTAGCTCTAAGGAGTTCCCTTACGTCGTCGGGCAATTTGAAGCGGTGAAGGGAGTCCTCCGCTACAACTTGCTTCGATGACCTATTTAAATTAACGGCCGTCTGGTGTAGTGGTAAGTGACATGGTCATTACATAAGGGGGTCGCGGGTTCGAATCCCGCCAAGGGAAGATATTAAGATGCCCAGCGTGTGCCAATCTACCACAGTTCTCGGGACGGGAACGGAATCGGAAGTGCGACCGTGCTTCATAATGACGGGACGTTGGTCTGAGTCTATTTCTGAAACTACTTCAATCGAACGTATGCTTAACTCTTCCTTTATTTTTCTACTAGCGACCCGCCCTCGCTTCGCTTCGGAAACTGTAATTTATTATTGATTTCTCCACTATTTAATGGATGTTATTATACACATAAACCTTGTTCTACAATCACTATCTATTTTAAAAAAAACATATCAAAATCCGTTGCGTAGGTTTAAAGATTTAAGCCTACATAGGGATATAGGGACAGAGAAAGCCACATTGTTTTATACCTACAAATTTTTTTTTTTATTGCTTAGATGGGTGTACGAGCTCACAGCCCACCTGGTGTTAAGTGGTTACTGGAGCCCATAGACATCCACAACGTAAATGCGCCACCCACCTTGAGATACAAGTTCTAAGGTCTCAAGTATAGTTACAACGGCTGCCATACCCTTCAAACCGAAACTCATTACTGCTTCACGGCAGAAATAGGCAGAGTGGTGGTACCCACCCGCGCGGAATCACAAGAGGTCCTACCACCAGTAATTACGCAAATTATAATTTTGCGGGTTTCATTTTTATTACACGATGTTATTCCTTCACCGTGGAAGTCAATCGTGAACATTTGTTGTGTACGTATTTCATTAGAAAAATTGGTACCCGCCTGCGGGATTCGAACACCGGTGCATCGCTTCAACACGAATACACCGAACGTCTTATCCGTTAGGCCACGACGACTTTTAAAACTTTAAACACTATGTAGTGATGATTATGGCAATCGCCTTGTTTCGATGCCTTTGATGCCACCGTTGAATTAATTAGTCTTCAATCATTTAATTTGTTAAATGAAAAGTAAAATGTAGTGGAATGAAATAAATTTGATTTATCTGTGAATGTTACCAATTGGGATGAGATTGAATGAAATCAATTATGTAATGGATTGACAATTCACTGTAGTAACTAACTGCCACCTCATCACAATTACAATGCCTTTTCCTTTAAACAATATGACAAATATTCTAAAATTCCCCGGGAACTACAATTATTCTAATACTGTCATTTTTCACAATGAAAACTAATGAAACACGTTCCGTTATCATGACTAACACGGATTGTATGAAAAACATAATTTTTATGAAAATGCTTCCGCGCCATATAATGTACAATGAATAATGATACTAACAAAAAACCATTCCAAAATGTACTACTGTAAAATGGAAGGTAAAAGTACTATTACCCTTCATAAAATAGTAACTGTAAATGTACTACCATTCGGATGATTTACTTAAATAAATAAAAATTATGAACGTGCAAATATTTATTTTTACTTATATTTAATATATATGAGAGATAGGAAATAAAATCTACATTTTCAATGTCATAAAATCCCAGTAGTTCACACAACACCATGATTCTCATGAATGAGGAGCCGGAGCGTCTGCGTCTGGGGCACATATCATCATCTCACTATGTGCGCCCGTATGGATATGCGAGTAATGTCAATTACGTTAGCGCAGGTGCGCAGGTGCACTCTGCGCAGGTTAGGCTTTATAATATGTTTTCATCTTTGTCTAACTAACAGTCATTCTTTGTGGACAGAAAAGTTTATACCGTATTACNGATTCTCATGAATGAGGAGCCGGAGCGTCTGCGTCTGGGGCACATATCATCATCTCACTATGTGCGCCCGTATGGATATGCGAGTAATGTCAATTACGTTAGCGCAGGTGCGCAGGTGCACTCTGCGCAGGTTAGGCTTTATAATATGTTTTCATCTTTGTCTAACTAACAGTCATTCTTTGTGGACAGAAAAGTTTATACCGTATTACTACGTAGCATCTCTACGTAGTCTGTAAGTCAAATTTTCCGATAGGTGCGCGAAAACATGAAATATGAACAGGTATATCTTTAAAACAGCTGACGTGAAAATTTCTTTTGTGCAGTAAAAGTGAGGAGGACTCGGGAAATTTGCGAACATTTTGCAATAATATCGTGTTTTATAAACCTACTTGAAGCTATTCTCGATCGATACGCTAAAATTAAAAATACACCTCATTTTTAAAATTAGCAACATAGCATTTTGTGGAAAATTTTAATGCAGCGACGCCGTTCTCGCGTAATAAAAAGGAATATGAAATCGTGAAGGTCACAGCTTTGTTCGAGTCAAACAAGTTCTTTGACTGCCGTGGCCGCACGCGCGTTGTCACTCGCCCTGTTTGCGACTCGTTTACGTAATCGGAACCGCTCATCAAATCACATTCTTATCTCTATCCCGGGGGCTCGGCCCGACGTACTGTCAGTTGATTCGCTATTCAGTGTTGACCAGGGTCAGCGTTATGCTTACAATCTGGGCGAGAATCGGTCGCGTACGTTCGCTAGAGCGAACGTTGTCTAGCGTCGTAGACTTGCCGCAATTTCAGGATGGGAGCATCCATAACGAGCCTGTGTTGGGTTATCGTGCCGGAAGCCGGGAACGCCAAGACCTAATTGAGGAGCTGAAACGAACCGCTTCAGTAATTGAAGACGTACCAATTGTAATTGCCGGAAAAAATATTACAGAAGGCGAGCCACGATATCAGGTGATGCCCCATGATCACTCAAAAAAGATAGCTAAATATTACTATGCCAGTGAAAAAACAATTGAAAAGGCGATTCAAGCGTCTGTCGATGCTCAAACTCGTTGGGACCGCACTCCGCTGACTGAACGCGTAAAAATCTGGCAGACAGCAGCTGAGCTAATGGCCGGTGCGTATCGACAGAGCCTCAATGCTGCGACCATACTTGGACAGTCGAAATCAGTAATTCAAGCTGAAATTGATGCTGCAGCTGAACTTATTGATTTTTTCCGTTTTAATGTACACTTCCTGAAGGAAAATTCAAAATATCAACCTATTTCTGAGAGTCCCACAATAACCAAAAACTCTTTGAGATTTCGTGGCATAGATGGATTTATTGCAGCAATAAGTCCCTTCAATTTCACTGCCATTGGAGGCAACCTCGCATACACACCTGCACTTATGGGCAATGCAGTGTTATGGAAACCATCGGATACAGCTTTGTTGTCCAACTGGCGAATCTTCAATATTATGAGGGAAGCTGGTCTTCCAGATGGTGTTGTAAACTTTGTTCCATCCGATGGTCCTACATTTGGTCGAGTCATCACATCATCACCATACCTGGCTGGAATCAACTTCACAGGCTCTGTGCCCACTTTTAACTGGCTGTGGAATGAAGTAGGCAAGAATCTTAATACATATCGTAACTATCCCAGACTCATTGGAGAATGTGGAGGAAAGAATTACCACTTTGTACACCCCTCTGCTGATATACAAACTGTGGTTAGTGGCACCATCCGATCAGCATTTGAATTTTGTGGACAGAAGTGTTCAGCTTGCTCCAGAATATATATCCCTCAGTCTCTGTATGAACCAATTAAGACAGGATTACTTGCAGAAAGAGCTAAACTGAAGATTGGTGACCCTGCAGACTTTTCAGTGTTCACAGCGGCTGTCATTGATGACAAAGCTTTTGCTAGGATCACAGGATACATCCAAAGAGCCAAGAAGAATCCTAAGAACAAGATCTTGGGAGGTGGTGAGTTTGACAATAGCAAGGGCTACTTTGTGCAGCCTACCATCATTGAGACAACAGATCCGCATGACAAGCTCATGACAGAAGAGATCTTCGGTCCAGTGCTCACCATTTATGTATATAATGATAAAGATATTGATAAAACCATGGATTTAATTGGTACTTCCACAAAATTTGCTCTTACAGGAGCTATATTTGCTAAAGATCAAGTATTTTTGAAAAAAGCATATGAAAATCTCAAAATGACTGCTGGCAACTTCTATATCAATGACAAATCAACTGGATCTGTAGTCGGTCAGCAGCCATTTGGAGGTGGCCGTATGTCAGGTACTAATGACAAGGCAGGTGGTCCCAACTATGTCATGAGGTGGACATCTCCACAATCTATTAAGGAAACATTTGTTCCACTTACTGATATTGATTATCCATATATGAGAGAATGAAAATCATCATCTCAGAACTTAATTATCCAAAAGTAGAAAAAAAATTTAAGATAATTAGATTGATTAGATCAACTATCTAGTTAAATTAGTGAAATTATCATCTCAGCAAACAATCTCACTTGTAACATAGAAGTATTAATTTGTGTATTTTGAATATTATTTAATTATTCATGTTGTAAAATGTAGATATTTAAGTAAGTTAATGTATTTTGAAAATGAATTAATGTTAATTACTAGTTTCATGTTATGGCATGATTGTTCAATTTTATTATTATGGAAATATATTAGATTAGGTCAAAAAGGTAATTATTTGAAATATTGAAACTTGTTCGTCTCGCTAGTTCTGTGCTTATACTTTCTGTATCCGAGTGATTTTCTAACATTATATGTTTCCTGTCTGACCTCACTTGCATTTACTGCTTACTCTTTGTCTAAATGTAAAATGTTTATTAGTGTAATGTTATTGTTAATGTTGATTGCTGGATCTCTTGGTTTCATCTATGACTGAAGTTGATGTTTGGAATTCCAATAAATATTAAAAATTAATAGTTCAACATGTAGTTTTATTTAGTGCATACTTAGTTGATATGAATATGAATAGTCAACACTTTTTAACAATATACTTAAGACATGCTTAAAAAACCCCGATAATTAGGATACAACTATACATACATTGAAATGATAATACATATATATATACCACATTACGGTATAGGTATAAATCGAATTTGGAAATATTTGGTTCATGGTGAAGTAGGTACCGTACAGAGCCTCCTCATGACATTACATTAGAACCCGAAAAAGTTACATGTCTACAGAACGTCATTAAAGTCAGGTAGATTCAAGGAAATCGCAGTCACAATAAAGACGGCGTGTTAGTTTAGTGGAACGTAACTCCGGTAGCAGGAAACAGGATCTCATCATATGAATCTTAGTCTTATTGCAACTGCCGTAGAGCGATCCATCCAACGACGCAGACCGTCTGGTTGATGCAAGTTTTATTTATTTATTGCGTTAATGTGTGAACGAGGTCACATGCCACCTGGTGTTAAGTGGTTACTTGAGCCCATAGACATCTTCAACGTAAATGCGCCACCCACCTTGAGATATAAGTTCTAAGATCTCAGTATAGTTACAACGGCTGCCCTACCCTTCAAACCGAAACGCATTACTGCTTCACGGCAGAAATAGGCTAGGCGGTGGTACCTAGCCGCGCGGACTCACAAGAGGTCCTACCACCAGTAATTAAGCTAATTATAATTTTGCGGGTTTGATTTTTATTACACGATGTTATTCCTTCACCGTGGAAGTCAATCGTGAATATTTTTTGAGTACCTATTTCATTAGAAAAATTGGTACCCCCGCCTGAGATTCGAACACCGGTGCATCGCTCAACACGAATGCACCGGACGTCTTATCCTTTAGGCTACGACGACTTCGCAAGTGTAAACCGGGTCCGGGTTAGATCGGTTCGGAAAAAACCTGCAATGGATCAGAGGACAGCCGTAAACGGAATACTACCATTATGGTTGTGAAATGACACGGAGCACTATCAGTCACGGTGGCAGTCAGTATGGTAGACGATAGTAGACTGGTATTCCTCCATCTTACACAAGGAGTTGGTGAACCTGACTGAAAGTCAGGAGAAAGGCTACCTTATTCTCGCCTCTGTATTGTTTTGAACCCCCTCGATCTTATTTTAGAAATCGACAAGTGGGGCCTCTAAAGACAATGGAGTGCTCTGTGTGCTTGTAATACTTTGTAATGTCAAATATTTCATATTTTTTCAATTTTATTCAAATCATTAACAACTTAGTATGTTTGCGTGGCGGATTAACACATTTTCAGATTATACCGCCCCTACCGAACTCAACAATTCAATACCCAGTTCACAAAATTTATCTAAGTGGTGTAATAAATTGTTAAGTTGTTAGTATCATAATATCTATGGCTAGAAATTCCATAATCCCTAAGGCCACAAGTCATCCTTCCATCAAAGTTAAAGAGTAATAGTGTTCTGTGAGCACTAGTCTAATTAGGCCGTACAGACTCATGCCGAGAAGCCCCAAGAACGCCCGAGACATCATATTATGAATGTGATATGCTTCTCGTTCTCGCGTTCTCCATGTTTCCGTTCTCCTCCGGGAACGCGACGAGTGAAGTGTGTGATGTGTTTTATTTTATCAGTGATTGTTCAGGTTTAAATGTGTAATAACGGCGGTTTGTTAACTGCTTAATATCTGTGAGAACTGTGAGTGCACAAATGTGGGAAAATGAAACAAAGCAGCTGGACGCAACTTCTCGGGATCCTCAAAAAAGCCCACTGAAAAAATCTTAGTAAATGACCACCATTTTACTGAGATTATATTTCATCCCATATCATCTAATCTCATTTCATTTCATTTCATCCCAGTTGATTAACGTCTCAAATTAATTATCTTCATTTCATTTCACTCCATATTATCATTTTTCATAAAATGAAGAATATAAATTAAAATAAGACATGACTTAAAGGTCTTAGTTACCAGTCATAAAATCCCATAAAAAAATTATACATTTGTGGGACTTTTTGGCGGGAACGCGACGAGTGAAGTTGTGTGATGTGTTTTATTTTGTCAGTGTTTCTTAAGATTTAAATGTGTAATAACGGTGGTTTAGTAACTGTTTAATATCTATGAAAGTGCACAAATGTGGGAAAACGAAACAAAGCCGCTGGACGCAACTTCTCGGGATCCTCCAAAATGTCCACTGAAAAAATCTCAGTAAATGACCGCCATTATACTGAGATTATATTTCATCCCGTATCATCTCATCTCATTTTATTTCATTTCATCCCAGTTGATTAACGTCTCAAATTAATCATCTTCATTTCATTTCAGTTTTTTTTTTATTGCCCTTGTTGGCAGACGAACATACGGCCCACCTGACGGTGAGTGGTTACCGTCGCCCATGGACTTCAGCAATGCCAGGGGCGGAGCCAAGTCGCTGCCTACCGCTTAATACTCTCCACAAGCCTCGTTTGAAGAAGGACACGTCATAGCGCTCGGGAAACACCGTTGAAGGGAGCTCATTCCAAAATTGGATGGTACGTGGCAAAAAAGATCTCTGGAAACGCACTTAGGATGAACGCAGTGGCTCCAGGTAGTATGGATAAACTCTACTCCGGTGGCGGGCGGTGCGATGGTAAAAACGAGATGCCGGTATCATCTCGAACAATTCCTCAGAGCACTCCCCATGGAACATACGGTACAAAATACTGAGGGAACCGAAGTCCCTCCGCAGACCCAGAGGTTTCAAACGATCCGTGAGAATGGGATTATCGACAATCCGAACACGGCCCTCCTCTGTATGGAGTAAAATGGAAGAATCTGGTATTTGGGAGCCCCAGCCCAGAGATGGGAGCAGTATTCCACGCGAGGCCGGACTTGTGCTTTATCCGCATCCCCCGTGCTGTCATCCGCATAGCAATTAGGAGTGGGTGATATAAATCGTATATAGATTCAATATCTATATATCGCAGCAATATCGTTGAATCCGATATCGCCCCGCACGAAATCTATATATCGATATCAGCCGATACACGATATTGCTCGATGTGATGCGCATCGCCATATCGTACCGATTCGTGAATCGAAATCTATATTTCGATATCGGCCGATACACGATATTGCTCGATGTGATGCGCATCGGCATATCGTACCGATTCGTTAATATCAGCAATATTCGTTTGGTTCGTATCGAATCGGCCAGAGTGAGTGAGCGCACGATAGGGATATCATGTGATGAATGAAACAGAAACAGGCATTATCCATACAATTGTAAACCTTATATTTAAGTCCATATGTCTGTAGATTATTCTTAGCGTATCAGCAGGATACAATT